ACGCTAAGCGCGCGGGTGCTCAGCAGCTGCTGTATGGTTGGAAGGTCGAGCGCCATCTTGACAACGGCGATTATATTCTGTTCAACCGTCAGCCATCTTTGCACAAGGAGTCTATGATGGGTCACCGCGTCCGCGTTATGCCCTTCTCTACATTCCGCATGAACTTGTCTGTCACCAGTCCCTACAACGCTGATTTCGATGGTGACGAGATGAACTTGCACGTCCCCCAGGGTGAAGAGGCGCGTGCTGAGCTTGCCGAGCTCACTTTGGTCCCGAAGAATATTGTTTCTCCGCAGCGTAACGGTCCCCTGATGGGTATTGTGCAGGATACTCTCTGTGGTATCTATAAGATTTGCCGTCGTGACACTTTCCTTACCAAGGACCAAGTTATGAACCTCATGTTGTGGGTCCCTGATTGGGATGGTGCCATTCCACCTCCCGCAATTATTAAGCCTCGCCCCCGTTGGACTGGAAAGCAGATGATCAGCATGGCTTTCCCCTCTGGTTTGAACCTTCTGCGTGTTGACAAAGACGGCTCGCCCTTGGCCGAGAAGTTCAGTCCTCTCAGTGATGGAGGTCTCTTGATTCACGGTGGACAGCTGATGTATGGTATGCTTTCCAAGAAGACGGTCGGTGCCAGTGGCGGTGGTGTTATTCACACCATCTTCAATGAGTACGGCCCTGACACTTGTGTCAAATTCTTCAGCGGAGCTCAAACCATCGTCGGGTACTGGTTGCTGCACAACGGTTTCAGTATTGGTATTGGTGACACCATTCCCGATCAAGTTACTATTAACAAGATCGAAGAGGCCGTTCGTAACAGAAAACAAGAAGTCGAGGAGATCACAGCTAGTGCCACCGAGAATACACTGGAGGCCCTTCCTGGTATGAATGTGCGTGAGACATTCGAGAGCAAAGTCTCGCGTGCTTTGAACAATGCCCGTGACGAAGCTGGTGATGCCACGGAAAAGAGTCTCAAGGATCTGAACAACGCCATTCAAATGGCGCGGTCCGGTTCTAAGGGTTCGGCAATCAATATTTCGCAGATGACTGCCCTTGTCGGACAACAGTCCGTGGAAGGCAAGCGTATTCCGTTCGGCTTCAAGTATCGTACCCTTCCTCACTTCACCAAGGACGATTACTCTCCCGAGTCCCGTGGATTCGTCGAGAACTCATACCTCCGTGGCTTGACTCCAACCGAGTTCTTCTTCCACGCCATGGCTGGTCGTGAAGGTCTGATTGATACCGCTGTCAAGACCGCCGAAACTGGTTACATCCAGCGTAAGCTGGTCAAGGCCCTTGAGGAAGTTATGGTCAAATATGATGGCACTGTGCGTAACTCCCTTGGAGATATCATTCAGTTCATCTACGGAGAGGATGGTCTCGACGGTGCCCACATTGAGAACCAGCGTGTCGATCACATCAAGTGTTCCGATGCGAAGCTCATGGACCGATTCCGTGTTGATGTTATGGACCCCGAGCGAACCCTCGGCCCAGAGATTTTGGAACAAGCCAACGAGATTGCCGGCGACATTGAGGTGCAGAGATACTTCGATGAAGAATGGGAGGCCATTCTGAAAGACCGTGAGTTCCTGCGCACTGTGGTCAAGGAGGACGAGGAGATGATGCAGCTTCCCATTAACGTCCAGCGTATCCTGGAAATGGCTCGAACTACTTTCCGTATTCGCGAGGGCACAATCAGTGATTTGCACCCTGCTGAGGTCATCCCTCAAGTCCAGCAACTTTTGGATCGCTTGGTGATCGTTCGTGGTAACGATCCCATTTCGCAAGAGGCTCAGGTTAACGCGACTTTGCTGTTCAAGGCGCAACTGCGCAGTCGTCTCGCTTTCCGCCGCCTAGTCACAGACTATTCGCTCAACAAGCTTGCATTCCAGCACGTATTGGGTGCCATTGAAAGTCGTTTCGCCCGCGCGGCAGCCAACCCTGGTGAAATGGTCGGCGTTCTTGCGGCTCAGTCTATTGGTGAGCCCGCGACTCAAATGACGCTGAACACTTTCCACTTTGCTGGTGTGTCGTCCAAGAACGTCACGCTTGGTGTTCCACGTCTCAAGGAAATTCTCAACGTTGCCACGAACATCAAGACGCCATCGATGACTGTGTACCAAGAAGGCGTGAAGACCCACGATAAGGAGGGTGCCAAACTCCTTCGAAGTCTCGTGGAGCACACTAGTCTGCGCTCTGTGACGGAATCGACGGAGATTTACTATGATCCCGATATTCAGTCCACTGTCATCGAAAATGATAGAGATATGGTCGAGTCATACTTCATCATTCCTGAAGATAATGCGGACGACGCATCTCAGCAGTCGAAGTGGTTGCTCCGTATCGTCCTCAGTCGTCGGTCTCTTCTTGACAAGGGTCTCACGGTGCAGGATGTCGCTACAAGGATCAAGCAGGCGTATCCTCGTGATATTGCAGTTATCTTCAGTGATAACAACGCTGACGAGCAAGTTATTCGTATCCGTCAGGTCCAGGACTACAAGGAGGACGATGACGAAGATGTTGAGTACGACGTCACCTTGAAGAAGCTTGAGCAGCACTTGCTGGACACTTTGACCCTTCGTGGTGTTCCCGGCGTGGACCGTGCGTTCATTAACGAGAAGAGCAAGGTCCGAGTCATCGAGGATGGTTCGCTTCACACCAGCAAGTCCGATCCTCTTTGCAAGGAATGGGTTCTCGAAACCAGTGGATCTTCCTTGGCTGCTGTGCTTACAATTCCGGGCGTCGACGCTTCGCGCACCTACTCTAACCAGTTCATCGAGATTTTCGAGGTCTTCGGTATTGAGGCTGCCCGTACAGCTGTGCTTCGCGAATTGACCCTCGTGCTTGCCTTTGACGGTTCTTACGTTAATCACCGTCACTTGGCTCTGCTGGTCGATGTGATGACTGTGCGTGGTTATCTGACTCCTGTTACTCGTCATGGTATCAACCGTGCCGACAATGGTGCCCTCATGCGTTGTTCGTTCGAAGAGACAGTTGAAATTCTGCTTGAAGCTGCTGCATTCGGAGAGCTCGACGATTGCCGCGGTGTGTCGGAGAACTTGATCCTTGGACAGATGGCGCCCGCCGGAACGGGTGAGTTCGACGTCTACCTGGACCAGAGTTTGCTCAACACCGTCGTCTCCAACAATGCACGCTACGGCCTTATGGGTGCGGTCGGCGCCAAGGATGCTATCATTTCCGACGGTGCTGCCACTCAATATGACACTGGTTCTCCCATGGCCAGCTCTTCGTACATGGCCAGTAGCGACCCCCATTCGACGTTCTCGCCTATGCACCAGATTGGCCAGGAGCCTACTGGAGGTCTCACCGAGTACCAGGCTAGCGCTACCTTTGGTGGTGGGTTCAGTCCCGCGGCTCGCAGCCCTGGTGGTTACTCTCCAACAAGTCCCTTCAATACTAGCCCGACGTCTCCTGGATACTCTCCGTCTTCAAGCTACTCACCAACCTCTCCTGGTATTGGCATGACAAGCCCGCGAATGATGACCTCTCCAGGGTTCTCACCCTCTAGCCCATCGTTCCAACCCACGTCTCCGGCCTACTCGCCGACCTCGCCTGCGTACGGCCAAGCGTCGCCCACATCTCCTTCCTACTCTCCAACTTCGCCTGGGTTCTCGCCGACGTCGCCTAATTATAGTCCGACTTCCCCCAGCTTTAGCCCGGCCTCGCCGGCGTTCAGTCCGACTTCGCCAAGCTACAGTCCTACCAGTCCCGCGATTGGTGGTGCTCGGCACCTGTCCCCAACATCTCCCACCTCTCCCAAGTACACCCCAACTTCACCTGGTTGGTCTCCTACGAGCCCGCAGTCATACTCGCCGACTTCTCCAAACTTCTCTGGCTCCCCGACGTCGCCTACCTCTCCGGCGTACAGCCCGACATCCCCGGCGTACAGCCCTACGTCGCCGCGCCAGTGAACATAGTACGAAGGTGGCTTGCCTTTCTCAGGCTCGTGTTCCACATCTGTACCATCATCAACTTGAACCTCGACCACTAAACAAAAAAGATCTTTTCGCGCTACAAATCTCGGAAATGATTGATAATTTTTTTTCTCACGATATCGGGGATTGCCTCCCATTCATTGTATCTGTTTAGTCTTTTTTTTTTACCCAATTAACCCAACAACACGTGCCAGTTTGGTTTCAGCCGCCATCGTTTCGAGATTGCTTTGCTTTTCCCGGCGCACCATTCCCCGATCGCGAATCCCAGGACCGCACATACTTTGATCAGAATCGAGGACAATGTCCATGGATGCTGTGAGATAGGAGTGTGGGCTTTGGTTGCCGTTGGGGAATTGCCCAAATCCTTTTATTGCATGGAAAGCGCACCGGGGATGTATTTTGACTGCTGCTTTCTGTTTTGTACACACCCTCTAGAAGGGACGAGTAGATTCCAACAATGCTTATGACATTTCCAATTTTTTTCTTATAACTCGTAGTAGAGAACAAGAGTGTCTAGATTGTGGGCTTTGACAGCTTATAGATTCTCACCGCTTCTACAGATGGCCTATAGAGAAGTTTAGGTTATGGAAGCTTGTGTTCTAGTGCTATGTATGAAGTGAAGAGCATGTTAAATGAGATAGACAAGAAGTTGTACACATATTGTAGAAGAAATGCGTAGGTAGGACGCATACATACGGTAGATACGATGTAGTGATTGGCCCTCGGCAAAATGAAGCTCCGTCAAGCCAAGTGGCCCGTACTCTGGAACTACATCATATCGCGATCCCCAGCTCTGTCGCTTTTGTGATTCACATTGCTCTGAGAGCCGCAATGTGCTTCACACTCCGACATAACACCAGTATTTTGCAGGCATTATGAGGACGCCGGTCTCACACTTTCTCTCGGCCCTGCGTAAGATTTGCCCGCACCTGCAGGACCGCAATGGAAGCTGACACCCCTTTCTAGTGTTATTGCAGACATGCGCAGCTGGGCCTGGCCAGCCGCTCACTGATAAAACAGCGTCCGGGAAAATCGGTCACGATGCAGACCACGAGTTTACGTTCCAGACAGGGGGAAACAGACCCCCGACCCATGACTCGTGAGTAGAGACAGCTTCCGTGCCCCGCGGTTTATCGACCGACGCTTGATACTGATCGACCCTATTGTCTGATGATAGAACGAGTCGAGAATGCCTGGGATACCCTTCGCTCAATAAAGAACCCAGTCCTTGAATCCGACAAATCGAGAGGATTACTAGGGACTGCGGTGTACTATGGGCGCCAAACAGTCCGACTGCTATTCTTGAATGGCCCTTCGACCGAAAAACCCGAGCGAAAACTGAACAAAAATCTTGCGGGAGCAGTGGAGGAGTTAAGAACAGCCGCGGACGAAGATAGGGACCCGGATGCGATGTTCCTGCTAGCGGAGATGAACTTCTATGGAAACTTCTCCCATCCCCGCGATTTCAAAGAGGCCTTCCGCTGGTATCATGAACTTGCATGGCTGGACGGAAACAACACAGCGCAGAACATGGTTGGGTTCATGTATGCGACGGGAATCGGCGGTGCGGTCGAACCAGACCAGGCAAAGGCCCTGATGTACCATGAGTTTGCAGCCGAAGCAGGGAACATCCGTTCGGAGATGACACTTGCGTATCGCTACCACACTGGTATTGGAACACCGAAGGACTGTGATCACGCGATCCATTACTACAAGAAGGTTGCGGACAAGGCAATCGAGTACTACCGTTCAGGCCCTCCGGGTGGTAGGGCTTTGGTCCGAGAATCTTATCGTTGGGCAGATGAAGAGGGTGGCGTCTACGGTCCAGGAGCCAGTGTGTCGAGCTCGGGTCAAAATGCGCGGGACCCTGCCAATGCCACCCCTGAGGCTAGCGTGGAAGATATCCTGGAGTACTTGGACCTCATGTCCCGGAAGGGTGACCTGAAGGCTACGTACACCCTTGGTAAAATGAATTTCGAGGGCGCCCGGGGCTTGCCGCGGAATTTCCGACGGGCTATGAGGTATTTCAAGGTTGTTACTAAGAAATATTGGCACAAGGATGGATCCGTCAACTCAAACCCTCCTGCAGGGCTTGATAAGTTGGCGTCCAAGGCCGCAGGACATATTGGTCTCATGTACCTTCGCGGGGAGGGGGTTGAACAACACTTCCCGACTGCCCTCACATGGTTCCGGCGGGGTATTGCGAACGGGGACTCCCTGTGCCAACATTGGATGGGTCTTATGTATCTAAAGGGCTATGGGGTTCCTCAGGATGGCTTCAAGGCGTCTCACTACTTCAAAGCAGCGGCGGAGCAGGATTCCCCAGCGTCCGAATCACGATTGGGCGCTCTGTTCTTGGACCAAGGAGATATCCCAACCGCAACACGTTACTTTGAGCTTGCTGCCCGCTGGGGGTGGATGGAGGCATACTATTACCTGGCTGAAATGGCCCATTTCGGTGTTGGAAGACAGCGGCACTGTGGTGTGGCCGCTGCCTACTACAAAATGGTTGCCGAAAAAGCAGAGATCGTCCACTCGGCCTTCGTGGAGGCAAACGCTGCTTACGAGTCTGGTGATAAGGAGAGTGCTCTCATTCCATCGATGATGGCAGCAGAGCAGGGCTATGAGAATGCACAAGCAAATGTGGCTTATCTTCTTGATGAACATCGCTCTGTGCTCTCGCTCAGTTCCATTCTCCCATGGGCTGAGAAGACTCGGTCCTCCTTGATGCGCAATGCTCGACTAGCGTTGATTTACTGGACCCGCTCTTCCAAGCAAGCCAACATTGACTCCTTGGTCAAGATGGGCGACTACTACCTGTCTGGAACGGGTACACCCGTCGACGCTGAAAAGGCCTCCACCTGTTACCATAATGCCGCTGAAGCCCACCACAGCGCACAGGGCTATTGGAATCTGGGCTGGATGCACGAGAATGGCGTGGCAGTAGACCGGGATTTCCACATGGCCAAGCGGTATTACGACTTGGCTCTCGACCTCAGCCCCGAAGCATATCTGCCAGTGAAGCTAAGCTTGATCAAACTTCGAGTTCGAGGATATTGGAATCGTATCACCAACGGGAACATTAATCCCATCCACGAGGAGGAAGGTAAGCTGCTCTTTCCCACCGACCCCGTGAAATACATCGCGTCTTCCTACTTTCTTACTTACGTTTATCCAGACTCGAAACCCCGCCGCACCTTCAAAGAATGGGTCAAGGCTTTCATCGAGAATGACGAGGAGGGCTATTATGAAGACCTTTACGAACAACAACGGGGAGAGGATGATGAATATCGTGCCTTGGAATCTGAAGGCCATGAGGATGGCTACTATGACGACCTGGATCTCGAAATCGACGAGGGAATGCTTGAGGGCCTGCTGATTGTCGGATTGGCTGCTGCGCTGTTGGTTTTGGTTTATTTCCGTCAACAGCAGCAGCGTAACCGACAGAATGAGAACGCCCATGCCAATGCCAATGCCAATGCTAATATCAATGCCCAGAATGGAAACGGGAACGCCAATGATCGTGGATTATTCCCTCAGCCTGGTGATCCTGATTTTGGGCAATGGGTGGCAGGAGGAGTTGGTCATTGAGATTATAGTGTATGCATTTCAGCGTGACCTTTTTTTGTAGATAAATTCCAATTGCTTATCGATAAGACTACATCTCCGCATTTCACTTGCCTTCTCCAACTTTTTTTTGTCTTCCTTTCTCTCTGAAACCATCGAATTTCCGAGGTCTACATCTAATTGAGGATGGACAAGCCATCTAGTAAACGTCGTCGCACCGACGCAGCTACCACTCTCTCAAAGCCGTTCAAGTCCCCACTACGCAGACCTGCACCAACAAATACAGACGACACGCCATCTAAGCCTGTCGCACTCAGGACTACCGAGGGCACCGAAGTCCCAGCGACTCCTACTATACCTGTAGGGCCGAACTCAATGTCGAATTCACCAGATCCGACAACAGCTCCAGTACCTCCTAAGCGCAAACGCGTGCTACAACTCTTTCCCCACTTCCCCTCACAATCGTTCCAAACCTCCGACCCAGAGATTCTAGAACTGCAAAAACAGCACCGAGAGATCAAGTCGAAGGTTGACACACTCATCAACGAACTCGAAATAGCAACTCAGGCTCTCAACCTCGAGACTAACCCCAAATACATCGAGATTCCAACTCTAATCACGAAATGGCGACTCGCCAGTCAGGACGCAGCCGATGAGGTATTTGTCGGTGCCAAGGAAAGGTTCAATAGCATGGGAGGGATGGCGGCTTGGAAAGAGCGGTCGAAGCGTGATACAACTCGATGGGATTTTGATGAAGAGAATCGTGAGCGGGAGCACGTTGATGAGGAAGAGGAAGATGTTGAGAATTACGATGATGGTGACTATTCTGGTCATACATCGAACAAGAATAACGGCGAGGAGAGTCAGGATCAGGTACGTGTTGTGATATTACTGTGGTTTAGGGTCCACGGGTGGAATCTATATGCTGACATTGTTACTTAGGAGTTCACAATGGAGTTCATGCTCAAGAGTCTGCATGTTGATCCTAAGTTGATTGGATATGATACAAATGCTCAAAAATGGATCAAAAGCTGATTGTCGCTGCCGGCTACTTGACCTGATGAGGGTTCTTTATGGGCTCGAGGAGACGATCACGAATGTTATGACCCTGGAATTTATTTCTGACCTGACCTGACTTGACAATACTCAGATCATACAATGTTATATAGTTAACAGGCAGTATATATAATTAACAAAGCATTTCTTATCAACATCGCCTAGACCTTCCTATTACAGCAACCTAATACGGAACTGATATCGCATCGGCGCGGATCAACTCCGTTATCGCGAGTCTCCCCGCATTTCCTCTCACTTCCTACATGTGCCCAATTGCTGCATGTCGCGCCCTCTGAAGCATAGAGATATAGCATGCGCTCGCTGTTTCCGCCACAAGCGGAAATGTGATCATGCCAAACCTTCATGTGGCGAATGTCGCCGCAAGGGTGCTGAATGCTTGCCTGCTCGGTCTCGGAAAGCGGGAGATAACATCACAATCCCTTTGGAATACCTGAAACAGCTCGAGAAACGGGTCGCAGAGCTGGATCGTGAGTCCAGTGCCACAGAAACAACGGTGGAAACATGTGATGCTGGAGTTCAGACGGATTTTGAAGACCCAGAACACAAGCGCAATCTTCTAGGCAATGGCTCGGACTACCTGATGGTTGATCAGGATAGTAGTAGAGTAGATAATGACGGATCTCTCATACTTCTACCAGACTTGCAACACAGCAGCCAAAGATCACCTCGAGCATCTCTATCAACCTTCTCTCCTGGCGCGTTCTCTTTATTCCCGGAGACGACTTTCGACGTTCCGTGGATTGACTTAGCACCTTCATATCCTTTGAATGAAGATGACTCTCCTTGGCTGAAAGAGCTCTACACAAATGTGTATTTCTCCGTGACTCACCGTGAATGGCCCTTCTTGAACGAAGCAGCTTGGAAATCATGGCATGCCGAAGCAATCCTGGATGGCCAGGATGAATGGAAAGCTTTCTTTCTGCAGATGGTGTATGCTATCGGTTCCTCCCTTTGCAGTATTTTACAGCGAGACCCCTCGCACTCCACCCGGTCAAAGGAATATTATGCCTCGGCCATGAGATATTATCCATATGTTGTGGGGCATTCGTCTATGGTCTTACAAATCCAAGCTTCACTGTTCATGATACTCTATGCGTTGCATTCTCCTTCTTCCGAGGATATCACAACGATCGTCTCATCTGTGTTGCCTTTCTGCACAGCTGCCATGACAGAAATCCGGAAGCACGCATCGATATGCCGCGACAATGGGTCCATGACTGAGTCTAGCGAAGTTTTGTCTGAAAACATGTTTATTACTTGTTATATGCTCAACGAGGTCATTGTCTCTGGGTGGGATCGACCAGTATCAGCTGCCTACAAGGTTGTTGACGATGACGTGAGTTATCCCCGAATACTTTCTAAATAGCTTCTCACAGTCGCTTAGATGTGCACTCTGGGAGATACCCTCCAGCCAACCCTAAGCACAAACCCGGCCATAAGCCACTTGTTTCGACTACGCAAGATCCAAGCCAACATCAGAAGATCCCGGGAGAACCGGGCTCGGCATCCCTCCGCCAGATATAGTAAAGACCATAGCTCCTCATTCAAATCCGCTCTTGATAGATGGCGACAGGAGATTCCACACTATGAATCAGACAACGACCAGCACGGCTATCTCCATCCTATATGGATGCGAAAGCTTTATGTTTACAGTCTCTTGATCTTGATAGATGAGAAACGCGATTTCATTGAGATGGACGGAACAGAAGAAATTCTCGCGACGATTGCGGAAGTTTGTCTCAATTTCCGGCTCTTGCAGGAAGAAGGACATGTAATGTGCTTTACCTGGTCTGCAGTATGTGTCGAACCCCGTTTTATTTCCCTTCTATTGCAATGTACTCGAGGTGATTTGGCTTGACTGACAATTAATCTACTATTAGCTTGTATTCCAATTCCGAGCAGGAATCATGATGCTTTACATTGTCTGGGCAACAACCCATATCACTGATATTCAGGATCAACAGCGCATTAGACAAAACAACCAACAGGCTATTGCTACATGTGCAGCTAATCTAGCTGGCTTTGTTGACCGGTGGAAGGACGTAACACCGTATATGAAGGTCTTTGAGTTCATACGACAGAAAATCATGTGGAATGCTGGTACATTTGGAGGCAATTCTAATGCTCCGGTATCACTGGAAGAGGCTGAATTGCACTTGGAGCAACTGAGGAAGAATTATTTGCACCGAGCTGTCTTGGGAATGATTGAAGATATGATGTATGGGAGGAGTATACATCAAGACTTGTTAGAGGACGATTTTAAATAGAGATTGTAACATGAAGAGAATGGAAGGAAAATTGTATATCTTTTTGGTGACACTAAGTCTTCATAATAAGATCAGCTTCCCCGTTGTCGAGCCAGCCTCTGTATGAGCTGTAATAACTACGATAGTCTGCGTTAGAGCAGGACTCGACCACCTCTCCCAGGGCTGGTCACGCTCAGAGACGGGATAGGAAGCTATGGCGAACCATCTGTCGCCCTCTATGACCGGCTTGAATGGTTGACCGTTGACATAACATTCCATAGTCTTCACCCGGGAGTCCTTGGGTACCACTGATCCCTGGATCTGGACTACAACCGTGGAATCGTGAATCTCCTTCATTTGAGTCTCCACTACTAACTCAACAGTCGATTGAGAGGCCCATGGCTGAGGGTCTTGACCACCCTTGATGCAATCAGAGTCAAGGGCAGGGACGAGCGGTGGCTGAACACGGCCCCTCATGGCCGTCTCAAAAGCAAAGCCATACTTAAGCAGACTGTTATCATCATATGCTTTCCCAGCGAACGTAAGATTAACTGGCATCCCCGTATCTTCCATGATGCCCATAGGAACGGAGATAGTGGGAACACCAAGGTGACGGATTGGCCTGTTTCCATTGGAGTACTTGACGCCATTACTCCACGCAAACAGAGAAGCCGTCTCATCGCAGTCCGCATCAGCAGCCCCGATATCACCATTCGCCGGGAAAACCACAGCATCGAGTCCAAGTCCATCCATCCAGTCCTCAAGGGTCTCCTTGCGCGCATTCTCAAGAGCCTGGATTCCCTGCTGAATATCCGGGATGTCATAAATAGACGCCGGCCTCCGGTGCGGGTATTTAACCATTTCATCCCACCGCAGCGCATTAGCCGCATCGGGCGCGCCCTTCAAAGACCCTGGCGCAAGCGGGAAGATAGTCGCCGGATCAACCTGGAAAAGAGTCTCGAGGCCCTTTTGGCCGTTGTTGATCAGGAAGTCATCCCAGATATGCGCGACGAGCTCGCTCCGCTCTAGTGCGGACCAGCCTTCTGGTAGTCCCGCGACGGTGACGAGCTGGCCCTTGTGTGTGTTCGATTCGTAGGTTGTCACGAGTGGGAAGTCCGTTTCGATTACCTCCGCACCACAGGACTCAAGAACCTTTCTGGCGTTTTGCCATAGCTTGATTATGGAGGGTCGGGTGTTGACTTTGCTAGCTGGGGATAGAGAAGAGTCATCGCCTCCGATGTACATTGACGGTACACCAATGCGCTTCCCGCGCAAGGATGTGCTATCTTGTAATTCTGAGAAGGATTGCGGTCGGAGTGTATTAATGGAAGGGAGGGAGATGAGCTTTTGTTCCTGGTAGAAATCTCCTATCGGGGCTTCGTCGGACACGGCCAGAACATCTAGGACGTGGAACATATCTGCCATAGTCCTGGTGTGAGGCACAAGAACATCACAAGTCAAGTAGAGTGGCCAGACACCACGGAGAGGAAGAAGGCCCTTCGAAGGCGTGTATGCAACAATGGAATTATTTGATGCCGGCGAGCGACCCGATGAAACAGTCTCACTGCCTAGAGAGAAAGCACAAAAGTTGGCCGTCGTCGCAACCGCCGATCCATTTGATGAACCGGAAGCATACGCCGCAGCAAGGTATGCAGGATTATACGGGCTTTCCGCACGTCCATAACACCCACGTTGCATACCACCGTACGCCATGGCGGGCATGTTCGTCCGGCCAAGAAGCACGGCGCCGGCCTTGCGGAGAAGTTTGATACAGGCAGCATCCTCGTTGGCGATGAGGGTCTCGAATGCAGGTGATCCGCTCGCAACGGTCATGCCCTTGACTTTAATACTGTCTTTTGCGAGGTAGGGGATGCCCTCCAATGGACGTGGGGGCAGACCTGCTGCGCGCCGGGCATCGGAGGCGGCTGCTTCATCCAGCGCGGATGGGTTTAGGATTGGGATGGCAGCGAGCTTTAGATTGCCTGCGTCGTAAGCGCTGATTCGTCGTAGGTATCTTGATGCCAAGCCCACGCTAGAGAGCAGCCCTGACGAGAGCGCGGATTGGAGCTCGGAGATACTGGCGTCCAATAGTGAGAAATCTTGAGTTTGGTGAGCCATAGCGTTGATGGGAATTGACTTTCTTGAACTGCAAGTAAAATGCGAGTGATAGGATTGAATGCCTGAGTGATATAGAGCTACCTGAGTACAGCGGAGAATAGTCCGCTTTCCCCACACTTTACATGCGGACTATTGACCGCTCCTATCTCCAAAGATAACCTTTTTGAGGGGAGAGATAAAGAAATAACGTTGACTTATCTCTTTAATTTGATAGGTTATGATCATGTTATAGTCATGTTATGGTTATATATAATAACTAGATGCCGGACTCGAATACTAGAACTCTTCAGTTTTGTTCAACTTTGACCTATACCCATTATGAGCCTCCAAGATACAAAGGTGGATCAGTCCACTGCGGAGAAAGATGTTGCTCTCGGCGAGACCCACGATATCGGAGCGAATCTGTATCTGGAGGCAGAGCAACTAACTGCCGAGGAACTGGAGACTGAGGGTGCCGCAGTGCTGAGAATTATCGACTGGAGGATTATGCCCATGGTGAGTTTCTCACTCTGATAGACCCGTGAAATCTGATATTTTGATGAGTGTTATTTCTAACCATCTCCCGTCTTCTAGCTCTACGTAACATATGTTATT